CATATCAAAGATAATTTATGCTGACTTCCCGGCAAACGTTTTCTCAACTTCAATGTATAATATTAACTCTAGAGATTGTGCACACAGAACAGGGCCAAGCTTAGCTGATAGTGTAGAGGTCATGTTCAAATACTTATAATGAGAAAAGATAAAGAACTCAAGTCAGCTTAGTGGGAGAATACCAATAGGAATATACTTTTGGCCCAAATCCACAATATTTTTCAATCAAAATGTATTGTCCCTCAAAGTTACCAAACATTCGGGCGAAGATAACGACGTGATCCCATGCAGCACGTGGTCCCATGCAGCAGATAGCGCAAAGACTGCTCTGTCGCGAACATTTTGATGAAAAGTAAATACTCCAAAAGTTGTATTTAGCATCTACTATATATTTCATGTCCTATCCAATGATCAAGGTGTTTTGATAAGATTCAACTAAAAAACCAAGGCTGAAGCTTTCTTGGGAAGAAACAAGAACCACATACTGCCATCACTGAGCCAGGCACACAAAGTAAATGAATGACTTGTTGAAACCCTTGTAAAAAAAACCAAGACTTTAAAAACACAGCTTCGACGATCGCTTCCTATCGGACTTTTCCTATCTTTATCATGCTATCGCACAACCAAGCCACACGAACAAGCCCATGGAGGTTAAATTTTAGATCTTATTGCAGAAAGATTGCAAATCTGTTCATCACTTAAGAAAAGCTGTTTCAAGATCAGCAAGCATCTACATCCAGAGCTAATGCTATTTCGTGTACGTCACAATATCAAATATTTGTTCAGCCAGTTGATTGAAAAATGTGCTTTCGCATTTTTTACACTCGTATGTTTGAAAACTTTGTGAGATTTTCCGATCGGTTGTGCATACGTCTATGGTGAAAAATAACTCTATTATTAAAAACTAAGAAAATCTGATAAAACTAAAAGAAAGTCATTGTTCCGTAAATTGAACAGGCTGAAATGAATTTACATGTGAGTAAACAACGTAATAAAACATGTAAAACTCTACACATATTCTCTAATTTTTTCTATGGGTACTTTTAACTCCAAAGTGAACAGCTTTATGCTGCTGGAGAAAGCGCATCCACTCCAGGTAGTACTTTTCCTGAAATAAAAAGTAAATTAGACGAACACTCAAAAAATACCTAAAGAGAAGAGAACTGCAGTTTCTTGCACAGGAACCTTCTAGCAGCTCCAAGCTTGCACCTCCTCCTGTAGACATATGGCTGACTTTGCTTTCTGTATTGAACTTTTTGCAAGCAGTAGCCGTATCTCCACCTCCTTAACATTGATAGTGAGTTTCGAGGCTTGGCTATCCAAACTTATTACTATTAAATGTCCTTTCAATTTTTTGGACACTGCAAAGACTGCCATACCGATGATCGTAACAGCTCCATTCTCCGTAGCTTTAACAACAGCATCCATCATGGCTTTCGTTCCATGAGAAAACTTCTCGAATTCGAAAACACCTGGTGGACCGTTCCAGACGATTGTCTTAGCTCTGGCAACGGCTTCAGCGAATAGTTGCTGAGACTTTGGTCCAACGTCTAAGCCCATATGTCCTGTAATGACAATATTCGAGCACAAACAGAGCGGCAGCTTATTTAACGCACCTGCTGGAACCCCTTCTTCAATAGTGGTAGTCTTTGAAGCAGCGTCTTCTGCAAATTTGTCTCCAACAATGAAGTCAACTGGTAAATGGATTTTCACGTTCTTTTCCTTCGCTTTATTTAGCAACTCCTTGACAATCTTTGCTCCCTAGATAACTTGGTTCTATATGAAAATTATTCCCACAATGCAATTTTGCATTTATCAATACAAACGCCAGGAAAAGTTTTCATACCTCCTCATCATAGAGCGAATTTCCAATCTCAACGTTCTGACCAACCTTAAGGAATGTGAACGCCATGCCTCCTCCAATAATCATCTCGTTAACCTGAACAACACTTAATAATGAACACACCTTTCTTCTCGATAGAACAAGACATAGAAAATGTGTATCCAGAAAAATATGAATCATCAAAACACCTTGTCCAGCATGTTTTTGATAAGCTGAATTTTGTCAGCCACCTTAGCACCTCCAAGGATTGCTAGGAAAGGTCTCTCTGGATCACTGAGTGCCTTGAACATATAGCATTTGCGAACAAAGGACAATGGAACATATCTTACTGCAACTTCAATTCTCACCTTTCCGAAGTAAACCAGTTCATTCTTCATCAAATAACCGCATGCACGAGTATCGAGATTTACGCCTACCATGGAGCTGAAGATAACTAATCCAGTAGCTGATCTGACGGCTGGCAGGACTAGCTCACCTGTGAGCCCTGTGGGCAGTTCCAAACGCATCATTAACATAGATGTCACCAAGTTTGGTCAATGAGGCGCGGAACTTCTCTACAGCACCTGCATCAGCTTTGACCTGTACAAAACAAGAAAAAAATGAGCGTTCCAAAAATGTTCGAGATAGTATTTACTTTTTCACCCTGGGCGTTAACACCTTTGCCTTCTTCCTCCACATGGAATCGAAGATTCTCTAAGAGGAAAACAGAACCTGGGGCAGGATCAGCAACTGCAGCTTCAACTTCTGGTCCAACGCAGTTAGGCAAGAATGCCACTTCTCTGAACAGGTGGTTAAATACTGAAAGTTTTGAAGATTGTTTTTCCTTTACTGTACAGCGGCGGTGAATGTGTTGGGTTTTCCGGAAAGCAACGTTTTTGGAGTTTGGTTGCAAACACTATATCTCAGCTCAAAACACAGGTTCTCAAGTGATCTAGGACCATTTAAATCTAAAGACCTTGGCTAATGAAACGCATTTTCGCATATGCCATAAGCTTAATACCACAGAGTTGTACAGGCATCAAGTTCGTTAGATGCCTTAGCGTCAGGTTTGTAAATCGTTTCTTGCGGAAGTGGTTGTCAAGATACTTTGTGATAACGGTTGTTAGTTGGAAGAAGCCTCACTGAGTGATGGAGGAAGCAAGGTTCGGTGCCTTGTCCGATTCAACTACTATAACCGCAAGTAAAAAACATGTGGTCTTTTGCAATGATGCAAAAAACCTAGCAAAAGCGAACTTAGTCCTACAAAACTTTGTAGAAGTTTGAGCTCGATTCGACTGGATCGATAGAGCTGAAAGATAGAAGCACTATCCTCCTCCAATTTCAAACACATAAATAATAAGCCATTTTAAAATTGAAGGGTATAACAACTAACTTGTTTAGCAATTTTTTGAGTTCCTCAGCTACTGGAGCTAGGGTAAACTTCATATTTTTCTGGCCATCTGGACGACCAAGATGAGACATTAGAACAACAGCTTTGGCGCCATTATCCAGACAGTACTAAATTATATGAATTCAATAGGTTCAAAGGGTGCAAAAACCGCAGAACACTTAGCTAAGTACTTCAGAGAGTACCTTTATCGTTGGCAAAGCTGCAACTATACGTTGATTGTTAGTGATTTTTCCATCCTTCTGAGGTACGTTGAAATCAACCCGGATAAGTACCCGCTTACCCTTCACATCAACCTAATAAACAAGAATAGAGAAATACAACAAAAAACATATACATCAAAGAATGCAATTAAGAACCTTGTCAATGGCTAGCTTTCCAAGAGACATCCCTTTCACTACAACGTAACGAATACGATATCCGGGTCCGGTAGCCTGAGAAGGCTGACCTATAAACAAGACGTCAGGATGTGACGAGAAAACTCTTTCGCCTAATTGTAGGACATAATCAACACATAACAAAGACTAGTAGAGGAATCTATAAAGGCATTAAGGAGATTCAAGGCAAAAGAAAGCTATGTTTTATACTAGAATGAAACAGTGCATGGAGAATTAAATGAGTAAGAAAAACAAAGTACATGAGACATCACAGTCAAGCACCGAAAACAAATAAAAGCAAACAGCATGCTTTGCTTGCATTTCCGATATAGTAACTCAGCCGGAAAGTTTCACACCATGTACATCATATTTCTACCAATAAAAAGATAAAAAACGACACTCATTGTTCTAATGTTTGATTTTACTAGAGTGAGCTTGGCAGAGTGAATTTGCGAACATAAGGA